AAGATTGTGGTCAGAATTTGTAGATTACATAAACATAGTTCAACTATGGCTTTTAGTAGTGCTTCCAACATACAACACCAATTAATGCTATCAAAATTTTTACTTTGCCCGACATAAAGAGGTTGAAGCTTGAGGATGGAGATAACTACAAGCAAGCCCTTTCTTTCCTAGGATGATCCAGAAATGAACAAGGTAAAGACTCTCAGAAAAATCACCTACAATTTCCAATACTTGTAAAACTATCCCATGTTGATGTGATCCAAGCTATGAAGTCCAAAAAAGTGAAATTAATAAGCCTAAGACCAAGTTTCATGTAGGGCTTGAGAAAAGATGCTTGATAGATCAACTTGATTCAAGCAATAGATGGAGGAGAGACTAGATTACACTATACGGCTACATAGTATAAAAGTCGCATAGTGTAAAAGTTCATGCGATCGCATAGAGCCAAGCAGAAAATCCAGCATGTGGGTTCCAGTCTTCTATGTGTTCGCAACCAAGGAAGCTATGCGACCGCATAATTCAATTGTAATCTTTGTAATCTTTTAGGATTCTTTTTCATTTTCAACCAAGATTTTTACGGTTTTCCTATAAATAGAACCTATTGTTCTACATTGTAAATAACTTTTATCACATATTCACTTGAGAGACAAATTGCTTCTTTTTGTTCTTCATTGAACTAATTTACCTAACTTATCAAGATTTAAATTCTTGTGGTGTCAAACTCTCTGGGTGAGACTTTCGAGTCTTATGATCAAGAGGTCAATATATTGTCGTCGATTGTTGGTTGCTTAGTTCAATATTTGTGGATCAAACTCAAAACTTTGGTTTCTTGGCTTCTTGGGTTTGAATCAATCTTTCGTAGGTTTTGTAGCTTTAATTGCTATGTGGATTCACATCACATGTAGGATCTCGTTGTCCCTCTGGTATAATAGAAAAGTTTGTAGAAAGATTAAAGTGCACAATGAAAGAATAATAAAATAATGAACCAACAACACACATTTATACTAGTTTGTAGGATAATCACCGTGGATTAGGACTTCAAGAGTTTTTACATTGTCTGTAGGCTTAAAAGCCTCGCTAGGAATAAGAATCTTAATGTAATAAGAAAACTTGCACATCAATGAATCAGTCGTCTCTAGGATTGGACAAAACTTTCGAACCGAGTCGGATCGACTGAGCCTGGTAAAAATACTAGAATGGGTACTAAAAACGAGAACCAACGAGTTTGATTTAATTCTCGATTCTCAATTATAGAACAAGAATCGAAGAATCGAATAAGAATGGAATCTCTCTCTAACTCCCAAGAGTCAAGATCAACTTGAGCCCAAAATAATTTTTTCCTACAAATTTTAATCTAAGCCCAACTTCAATTCACAATTCACCTTACACTTACTCATTCTATCATTTAAGTTGTTGACCTCATTTTTAGTAACTTTCCTTTCATATAATTGTTCTTTCTTATTATATAGGCTCTTGAAACAAAGGAATCAATTGGATGGAATCACCGATATATTAGCATTATTATTTACTATTTGATAATTTGTATACATTGGTGAATGAATCTTATGAGACAACTTATTATTTACATTTTTTGAATTGGACTATATTATTTTGTAAGAGTTAATATTGAACATATCATCGGTTCGATTAATGTAGTATTGTTGTATATGTTAAAAAAATTAATTATGTTGTCAAACAGAAATTGGACGTTGGGTTCCATAATTAAATTTGGACCCACGATTCCACTTATTAAATTCTCAAAAATTATATTCAATTCAATTATAAAGAGAATCAAGCTGAACATAATTAATTATGTCCAATATGACCATACCTAAATTTCACGGGGCTTTAGGCGAACCTGAGAATTCGAGCTTCTAAATCATAGCAAGCAATCAATTTTTTTCATTTATAAGAATTTCACGGAACTTAATTTGTTAACTTGAAATCAACAATAAAATAATAAATCAAATGTAATATTCAAAATATATAAGTTGTAATCAAATAAAAATGCGAAAATGTTCTAAATGATCACTTAAATACATCTCGTCTTACAGTTTTAGAGGCAAGTATATCAATCAATTTTGAATAGTCGAGTTTTTTATTCATTTCTTTTTTTTATTGGATAATGTGGTCAATAAATTCAATCTTTACTATGACATAGTTAATCAAAGATAAGTTTCGATGAATTTTTCAACTTGGAGAAACTTCTTTCTGCTAATGCAACTGCAATCCGTATGGTTAGCAAAATCTTGTAACCAATGCAAGCATTTGAGAAAACCATCATTCAATTTATTCAAGTAATGCAACACATTAATTTCTCCTTTTGTTTATCTAGATAAATAGCACCTCAAGACCATCAACTCCGAACATAAGCCATCACCAATAATGTTTGAATATCCATTATGATTTAAATATTGCTCTAAATTGGCACAAGATTTCAACAAACCGTCAATATGCGTACTATTTAATCTCGCCAAATTAAACAAAAATCCAATAATCTCTTCATAGTGTTTAAGTTGTTCAAAAATAGTTTGAAATGAATATCGAGATTGATCAAGTATAAAGAGAAAATAATCAACTTTAAAAAATTCTCCAACTGATTTTGTTACCTCTTCACTTGGACTGCTTTTCTCTTCTACCATTTCACTTGCTATTTGTTTGACTTCATCCATGATACTAACAAATTCAGATTTTCTATAATCTTTGAGAAACAAATTAAGTGCTTGTAAAAGCCTGTGACTTCATCAATATTGATGTTTTCGACTTGAAAAAACGTACTCACAGCATTGATAGCGGTGACAACTTATACCAAATTATCATACTAAGCAAAAACTCAAATTTCTCAATTTCATATGTTGATAAGGACTTAGCTTCTCTTTGTTTTAGGATTTTCAATAACGTTTGACAAGTAAGGCTTCTCTTATTTGTACAAATGCTCTTTTATATGATTGCCACTTTCCACATGATTTTTCCAACGTGTTTGTGACAATAATTTAAGTTCAGACCTTCAACCTTATCTTTAAGAGAAATTTTTAATGCGACAACAATAACTATATATCATCCAAGGTCATAAATATTTTTGAAATATAACAGAATAAAATGGGAAAAAAATAAATTATGTCACATTTAACCATATGTTGCACCCAATTACCCCATAGAAGGCATAAATTCTCAATAATTAATAATGTATCATAGATCGAGAAAAAAATCTGCACAAATCAATGATGCGATCAATAGGATTTTGAAAAAATGTAATTGAATTTAAAGACAAAATTATACAATAATCAATTAAATATATAGAATCTGTCAGTTAAAAAAAAAAAAAAGAAGAAGAACTAGAGTTAACGAACAATCATATCAACAAATATGTGTGTAACGATGCATAAATACATGCCAAGGGGGTGTTACACAATGGAATGAGTATTCCTAATCCAAACACTAATTCTAGGAAGTTTCATTTTTTGGAGCAACCGAGTAAGAGTGAACGAGTATAAACAGTCATGAGGATTTTTTCCTAAAAAAAAAAAAGGAAACAAAATATTTTTTGGGCCCCTAAAGAGCTAGTCCTGAGGCGACGGCCTCTTGGGTCTCTCCTTAAGGTCTGGCTATTAATTATCCAAACCCAGTGGTCTCCATAACTGGAGGAGAGGATCCCAGTTAGAGCGAGTTGGCTCAACAGGTGTCCAACATGTCATTTCCAAGGGCCCAGGTGTCTATCCAAGATAAAGACGAAAGTGATTGGGTGATCAACCAAGGTTGTTGGGTAACCTATCGAGGTGTACAGCCAGGTGGGCCACCTTCGTGCTTAAAATCCTTGGGCTCTGGGGCCCGAGGGCAAAGTAGGGTTTTACCAAAAGAATAAAGTAAAATTGAATTCTAATAGTACTCCAAAATGAAATGACTAATCATAACACAGAGAAAATGAGTACAAATTTGATTTCAAAACCTTATCGTCGCTGTCCAAATTCAGTTTATTGACAATTCCACTACTTTTCTAGTCTTATAGCACATGCATTCATTACTAAAGTGCTTCTACCTAGCCCAGGTCATCAAACCATCAGAATCAGCTAACTTTTCATTTAATTATCGGTCATAGGTTAGTCAAAAGAAGAGAGTCAACTTTCTTAAATCCGTAGGTTACTTGTAAAGNACAAACAAAAAGTCAAAGAAGGAAAATCATACCTCTTCAAACTAAGACGTTGTTTGACGAAACTTTTGATAAAATTTTTAGCACACTTTGATAAAAGTTGGTAAAATACGTGGTTCATGAAAGCACTAGATCCCATGCGAGAATAAATTGAAGTTTGATCTGTTGAAAAGTTGATGAATTTTAACTAAGTTCTATTGAACAAGAACTAAATCTACACCAACATAAGATGGACTTGTGGGATATGAAACTAGCAACTATATTTACCTGCTTGTCTTTTAAGCTAACCAAAATTGATTCTGCAACACAGTAGCAATAGGCTCATCTCATCTGCAGGTGCATTGTGGCAATAAATACTAATTCTAAGAATCAATAATACTGTTGCAAGATGGTATCCATAGTTATATATCTAATCAACAAAAGTACATAACCAAGAATTAATTAACTAGTTTCGACATACAACATTCTGTAGATTTCTTAGGCAAAGTCACCAATCAAACGTGTCGATCTCATGTCCATTCAGTCAACGGATAGTGCTAGCTATAAGGTAATATAGACAATACACAAACATTACTTAAATATTGAGCAACAATGGAGTGGAAATATGTCGTACACAAAATAATAAGATTCCAAGTATCTGTAAAGCTAGTTCTAGCGGAAGAGGGACAAGGAAAAATGCCATCATGTCCCAAATTGATGATTGCATTTTGTGTATTTGACATAGAATTGCAGAGTCACTTGCCCAAAAACATGCCTATGATCTAATTATTCATTTCTGTCCACCGTGGAACAGAAAAAAAAAAAAAAAAAAAAAAAACCCTAGTAAAAAAATTATATA